TAATTTCACAAGTTACAACTAAGTCAAAATTGTGATCCTGGCATAAGAGGCAATGTTCTTCGTGTTGGATGTACACTGCAGTTCCCCAAGTGAGTAGCGTCAAATATTTTCATTTATATCTTAAATATTCAACTAATGAGGAATTTAGTCACAGTCTTGCAGCTCCTTTCCCAAAACCTTTTCAAGGTAACAAGCTGAATTATCCATTTCCTTCACCTCTAACATTTCAAGGCCATTTCTAGTGAATGGAAATCACTGCTCAATGTGTGAAAGTTTTGCCTTCTCTGGTCTTGTCACCAACCTGGGCACTCTGCCTGCAGAAGATAGGGACCCAAGGAGACTTTTCAAAGCCCCCTAACCTTATTTCCTTCAATTTCACCCAAGATATTTCTTCTTGTTTTCCTGAGATGCATTTTTTTGTTCTCACCCTTCAGGTTACATGGGACAATTTCTTTATGACCTGAACCCTGGAAATAAAGCTAAAGTGAAGGCAGCTGCTCTTGTTAGCCTTTCATGGACTGCCTTGAAGAAAGGGAGCTGAGAGTTGAACGTTTGTATGAGAATATTTACGTGGGCAAAGCTGGTAAAAGAATATCTAAAAAAATTCTTCCCAGATATGGTGTGAATCAACTTGTATCTCAGCATAAGCCAGAAATTATGAGAAGCATATCACACATCTCGCCGTTCTCACACCTCCCAAAATCCTTCTGAGCTTAGGGTTATTACTTTGCTCATGCTGCAAGTGAGGAAAATGAGGCACACAGAAGTGATGTCACTTTTACACCACATGCAGGAAGTGGAGCAACGGGGACTTGGCATTCTAGCTGCGTTGTAGCCCTGCTCCTCGTTCCATCCCACTTGGCCGCACTCTCAGCGTCACTGCCTGTCCTAACCACAGGGGAGCTGCTGTGGCCTCCTCTTCATGGTTCACTGCTTATATCCCCTGGCACAGAATTAGCGGATTCTTCTAGTCAACTCTTCTTGGCTTGCTTAAGAGGCTGATTTCATTCTCCTACTGTGTTTGTATGTAGTAGACTTTTTTACTTTCCTTAAGTCTGGAAAACACTTTCTCATCAGGTCTTCCCGTGTTGTGACTGGTGTTTCTTCCACTCACGTGTGGGTAAAGATGTTTCCTTAGAGATGTCATACTACTCAATATGTACATTACCCAGGGGCCCCAGGTGCCTGCATTCTGTGGGTTCAGTGAGAGTTACTGCCTCACTTTTAATGCTAAATTCACGTAATTTTGGGCAAGGGGGTCCATGAGCTTTACTTTGAGCATTACGTTGTCAGTGTCTTTTCTCTACTTTATTCAAGTCAATGCTTGTTTGCATAAAAGAACAAACATATCTTCAAAGCTGTTCAAATATAAAGAAAATTTACAGGGGAGAAAGTGAAAGTAATACAGAAAAGAATTTAGTCTAGGCATGGGAGAACTGGGCAATTGTGAAGGAGTTGTTCTACCACGCTCTCTTTGAGGTTTCACTGCCTATCATTTCCTTTATTCTTTAGGTGATGGAAGAGCACATCTATTGCATGTCTTTCGTACAGATCAGCTTTCTACTGCTTTCCTATGGCTGTATCACAAGACGGGTGAACTATGCCATAAATCTGACTGCATCATGTTCCCTCACTGTAACCTCCATACTGCTTACTTAAACATCTCGAACAAGAATGTGACTGACTCAGCTCATGTTCCAGAGAAAACCTGCCTTTGATAAAGTGGCTGCTGTGGTACAAGTACTTATGGCTGTGTTGCCATACAGAGGGGCAGCAGCCGTGTAACACGGACATGTCCATGTAAGTGTGCTACTCAATCAGGATGTATACATATGAGGGATGCTTTTTAGGAAGATCACTGTGATCGAGGTGAAAACCCAACTACTATGAACGCTATAAAGTCATTGCTGGATAAATCTCAAAACTTTACTTTATCTTGTTTCTTCTTACCTTCACTATTCTCTACTAAGTAAGGGTCCATCCCAAATAATTATTCATAGGATTTAAAGCTGTCTTTGACCTGGTTATCTCACACCTTTCTTTAATCACCTGATCTAATGGAACTTTATTCTACAGATGGCCTCTGCTTCACTGATCCACTCAATCTACAAGGTTTTCTCTCCCTCTCTGCTTGCTTTCTTTCCCTTCTAAGTCTTTGTTAAACTTTGCCACTCCCATGAAGCCTATTAAGATGGCTCATATTTCTTACTCAACATTTTCCTGCCTGAATAACCTGCTCTGACCTTCAAAATATTTAGGGCTATGTTATCTTTTTTTTTCTGTTATGATAATTCACCTTATTTCACTAAACAAAAAGGCTGTTGCTAGAAAGAATGATGTTACAGGAGCTGAGTTTTGTAGAGTCTAGAAGAGCATCTAACAACACAACACGATCACCAAAAACTTAAGCCAAAGAGCTGGAGAGAAGTGATTTTCCATTGACATGATCAAATGCTGAACTTAATATTGGAATTTGTGTTTATCTTTATTTTAAGTCAATCCATCTGTAATAGTCAACCTTAACTGTCAACTTGACTGGATTAAGATGTATCCAAGAGTTTGAAAAAGCTGTGTGCCTGCATGTGTGTCTGGGTATTTCCAGAAGTGAGTGGCACATGGTGTAGCAAACTGAGGTAGGTACCTGTTCTGAGCAGGTGGAAGCACCATCTGGTATGGTAAGGGCTCAGTTAGAACAAAAGCGGGAGACAGCCAAATAGACCAGTCTATGCCTGGTCTGTCCACACCTCCCCCTGCCTCTGTCTCCCTCTGTCTCTGTTTCTGCTTCTGACTCTGAATTCTCCCCTCCTCTCTCTCTCTCTTTACAGACTGCCATCAGGTAAGCAGCCTTCCTCTGACACAATCTATTGCCATGATGTGTCTACTTTACCACAGCACAAAAAGCAATGGATCCAACTGACCACAGGCTGAAACCTCTGAAATCATGAGACAAAATAAACTTTTGCTTCCTTAAATTGACTTTCTCAGGTATTTTGTTTGAGCAATGGAAAGATGACTAACATACCGTGTAACAGATTTTACCCTCAGGAGAAGTGACTTTCTTTCATGTTAGTCGTCAGTTCCTTTGTTACTCAAACTAAAGTTCCATAAATCAATGGGCTAAGTTAAATTTGGTATCAAGCTATCATCACTGTTTCATAACCAATGCAACATCATCATTACTTCATTCATCAGATGAAACAATGTGCTGGTAGGAAAATTTCAACTAAATACAAAACACACCTAATATTGTTACTGGAAGGAATAATTTAAAATGAATGAACACAAGGAAATATGAAAATATTCAAAGGGAAATTGAATTTAAAAGAAATTACCTCATAGCCAAGTAAATGTCCATTGCTCAACTTCCATGGAATACTGTTCCATGCGACTTCAATTTCTGAAGAATTCAGGCTATGGGCAGATACCTGAGATGGGGCTACTGTAGGCTCTGTTTAGGAACATGAAAGTATAATCATAATTTTGACAGTTAAATTTAAAAATAAATATTTAAAAATATTTTAGCATATATGAAAGTTTTATACATGTCCCGTAAAAATATTTGACAACATACCCAGGTCTTAAAAAGTAAAACTCTTGTCTGTACCTTAGGAGGATTTAGCATCATGCCACAGGGTTCTCCTTGCTTCATGACCATAGCAGCCTGTGCTTTCCTCCTTCTCACCTTTTCCTTGGTATTCCTTTCTGTCCCTTTGTTCTCTGTACTCTGTCTTTGTTACCTTCCTCTTCATCTCTGGCCAGCAGCCTGAGAACTCCTATGTCTACAAATGCTATTCATTTCTTTGTTGCAAAATTAAACAAAATTCATTGTCTTGATAAAAAATGGAATGATTTCTCTAGCCTAGATCTACAAATGGGACACATTTAAAGTAGATGAATGGAAACACTTCAAAGAGATTAGACATACACATGTTATCTACTCTATGTACATTCTGTCTATAGTAAATACTCTTGAGGTTTAGGACAGCTACAGTGATTCTCCATTTTCAAGACTCATTTTTGAGTAGAATGCCTAATCCCTCAATATCCATTGCTGTGTTAAATGATGTCACTCCTTCACTATGGTTGCTTGATGCTGAGACTGAGTCTTGGTTTCCCAATGGGCCTATTCAATTTTCTCTCCTGAGAATCTGAACTTTAGTTTGAGGAGATGAGGAGTGGTCAGGGTCAATCAATTTGGTACTGATGTACCGAAGGAGCTTATCATTTCTTGAGCCCCAGGGCATATTGATTAAAGTTCTTCATGAGGTTGATTTTCTAACTCTTCACTTGTTTCCCAGAGGATGCCCCTAGCGAAGTTTCAATAAGTCCCTCCATTTTTTCTAAGGCAAGCTGAATTTATTTCTGATGATTGAACAGAAAGCCTTTTACTAACTCATCAGTGGGGGCAAAAATGCTGACAGCAAAAAGGAAGTGAGGGAGGCAAAAACAGGTAAAGGCTGTGACTATCCCTCCCTTTCCTTACGAGCATCAAGTGCTAATGATACTGGCCAGGCAGTGACCAGAACCTCCCTGAGCAATCACTTCACAGACCCCTAATCAATTTTGCAATTTCTACTAGATTTTCCAAATGAAATCTGACTTGTAATACTATATGAAGATGAGGTACTTACTTTTCCAAAGGCTTTTGCACTATTTGAACTCAATAGAAAATGAAAAACAAACAAACAAAAACGGTGGGAGCCCCAAGAGGAACTGAATCTATTATTTTAGGCTTTGCAATTTACTACAAGGAGAGACACTGTGGCATCAGTTTAGGCTGCCAAAGGCCAGAAGCCCTGGATTAAACTATTGGGCTGGCCATATATCAAACAGATTTTGACAAGTTTAGAAACCTCTTTCATTGAGCTTATATTGTCTCATTTATAAGAGCAGAATAGTAATAATGCATATAATTCATCCTTTATTTGGAAAATCAAAGTAGCCCATGCCTTGCAAATGGCAAGTTTTCAATACGTATTACATCCTGCCTTCTTTCTTAGGTAGAAGCATATGATACAACCAATATTCAGTCATTATAGATCAATAAAATGGCAATTTTGTACAATCCCTCTAGCTTTGTTGTTATTTTCAAAAGGACTTTTGAAAGAAACTGTAGATGTTTCAATATCTGGAGCAATTTAAAAGAAAGGCAGCATAATAGGATGGGTTCAGAGTGAATTGCACATGTATCTATGCCAGTTGGAATATATAATCTTTAAAGCTACATATTCTTGATCCTTGAGTGTTATACTTTTAGTCCTCAGAATACTGCTAATACCCTTTTCTTGGGCCTTAGGATCCACTATAAGCTTTGGGTTAATGTTGCACCACAGGATCACCTCGTTATTGTACCAAGACAAAAAGATCAGCTGTGGATGAAATTTTCTTCCCCACAAGCTGGAATTCAGGATGGATTCCTCATAGACTCAGTTTTAGCATACAGATGCATCTTCTTATGGTCCCGTAAGCCTTATACCTCAAGTTAATTATAGTTGATCTTTATGACTTGGTCTAAGAATATAACTATATTTTTGAAGAAAATTTATCTGAAGTAAAAAAATAAAACTTCTAAGTCATTTTTTGAACATAATTGTTTTAACAGGTTTAGACTGATATTTTGCATACCTTCTTCTGCAGAGAACACTGTCGTCACAGGGCTAAATGGTCCTTCACCTTTGTTATTATAAACACCTACTTTAACTTCATATGGTGAAAATGGCACGATACTTTCATTCCTAAAGACATATCTTGGGGTATCAGGAGATGTCACCACTGTCTGGATCCAGGTAGTAACCCCAAGAGGGCGAAAGGCAACAACATACCCAAAACCTTCACCATTCTGTAGTTCTTCAGGGACTGGCTACAAAGGAAGGACATACAAAATCACCCTCACAGAGAAGGCAAAGGAAATGTAAATGCAACTATCATTCTTAGCTTTTTGTAAGATCATCAAATAATCCACTCTTGATTAAGGAGTTGGATTAAGAAAGGAGAAAAACACTAATGGGAAAGTCAAGTCAGCTGCTTTTGAACACGTACTCATTTTTCAACATGCAAATGATTAACTCAAATTTTCTGTAATTATTCAGGTTTCCAATCATCATTTGTCCCAAGTATGAGCTTCTAGAAAAGTATTCTTTCAGTCAGACATTCTTGCAATCTTAAAGAAGATAAAGCTGAGCTGGTTCTTAATACTGACTTTATAGAAAGAAACTACATCTAGATATAATCATTAAGTACAAGAGAATTCAAACAATACAAAAAAAGAAGTATAACTTACTAAACAAAAGATGTATTTGGGTCATTCAAAAATTCTACTGACAAATCCATCATCAGATCATGCCTTTATGTTTTTTACCAAAAGCTTCAAATACAGATAATTCTAGTACTGCTATGTTGTGAATCTAAACACATCAGTTACACTCTACCTCATTATGATATAAGTCAAAGAATGAGATGATGACAAGGAGAGGGAAAGAGACTCATCCATCTGCTGCATTATGTGACACCAACTGCAGGAAATGCAGGGCTACAGGGAAAGCCAAAGGGCCTGGCAAGAGTCAACACCTAGGATTGGACTCTCGTCCCCATGTTACAGTGCCAAGTGACCTTGAGGAAACAGTTTATTACCTCTGTACCTTGGTGTTTACATTTATAAAATGTTGCAAACTAGGAAGAGAAAAATACATGCAAAATGATAGAAATAGGGGGTGGTACTGAGTGAGCACTCACAAACTGCAACTATCACTACCACCACCACCCTCATAGCCAGCATCATTAGCATGAGCATTACCATTACTACTATGGAGCATTATGAAAACTACCATCACAAATAGCACTAACACCAGTATCAAAATCAGCAGTATCAGTGCCGCATGAGCACCAGCATTACCACTAGCACTAGAACCTCTAGCATGAACACATATTCCAATAGCTGTATCACTACCAATAGCAGCAGCACATAAATGACTGTCAATATAGTGAGCAACACCAGCACAAGCAGCGTTAGAACCAGCACCAGTACCAGTATCATCAGGATCATTCATACTTGTCCTTTCTGCATGACTACTAGCACTTGAAAGAATACCACCATCACCTGCCAGTATCAACACCGCCACCACTTGAACCAGAGTACAAATGGAGTCAGAATCACTATGAGCATCAGCACCACCAACACCATCAGTATCACCATCAGCACAAGGATCACTAGAACCAGCACCAGTACCATTGCCTTCTGGTCCATTCCGTCAAAGTGGAACCATCACAATCAGCACAACCTTCATTAACAACAGAACCACTACTGTCATTATCACCAACTGCATCCCCAGCAACGCCACTGCTACCAGCACCATGAATGTCAGCAGCAGCAGCACCACCACTCACACTACAGTGCCACCAGCACTAGTATCAGCAGAGCCATCAGCCCTGCTGGCTCCATCATTCAGCACTGGCAGCCCTAGCACCACCAGAACTAGCATCTTCACTAGCACCAGCAACTTCCACACTGGCATCAGCACTGTGAGCCCCAGAATCTCTAGCACCAGCACCAGCACAGGTGGTACCAGAATCTTTACCACCAACTCTAGTAATGGTACCAGGACCACAAACACCCTCACAACCAGCACCCCTACACCCAGCATCAGCACCATTAACCTCATTTACCAGTATCACCATAAGCACCAGTACCAACACCATAGCATTACTACCAGCACTGCCAGAACTAGAACCCCCCAAGAGTGCCAACGCCAACAGGAACAAGCCAGCACCACACAGAAGGCGATGACTGTGAAAATAGTAACACCCTGATGAGGAAGGCGCTGCCCAAACACTTACATCCCAGGTTATCACTAGTTCAGACCGGCTTCCTCCTCCTCCGTTGACTTCAGAAGGAGGCACTTCTGGAACTGTGTTGGTCAGAGAGACAGAGATGACACTCTGTTTACATACAGTAACATTTATTCATTACTCCAAGTAAGCTACAAGTCTTAGAATGACATTGGCTTTAGGTAAGAATGACAAAGACTGAAATCTTCAAATTCTGTGAGAAGATACTCTTTATAAACTAATGCAGTCATCAGATTTGCTCAGTAATAGAACTCCATGTTTAGTAAACCCTATGAAAAAATTACAATGGAACATCTGTGAAGCTAGATATCTGTAATATTCACAGTTGTATTCAAAATACTAGTATTCAAAATAGTCTACAAGTAGTAAGCATGTAGGAGACATAGTCCAAATACATGTTATGTCAACTTATGTAAACAAAGGAAACTAAGGTGGACACAGTGCCCCTATTGCACAAAAGCTTTACTCTCCTGAGTAAAGCAGCATTACTAAAATATGGAAAACGTATTTCATAACTTATCATGCCCCAATCCCTAATGTGATATTCTAGTTATATTTTAAATACTCTTTTAGTTAATGTTAACTATTATTGCAGATTTTGAAAAAAAGTATTTAGGACCCCTCGACTATCAGTATGTGATTCAATCCATACTTTCTAACTTTGATTTTTAATATTAAGATATTTTTGAATCATAAACACAATTTTATGGCTTATACTAATAGATAACTCACATGATAATTTAAAAATGCTAATTTGTTCTTAACACTTGAAAAGCCAAAATGCACTATTCGTCAATTGCTAAAGCTCATTTTGCTGAGCTTAATAGGAGAACAAGCTTTCCTAGCAATGAAACTCCCAAACGTCATTATCTTACCAATTTGTCAGTGCTAGTTATATATGAATACAGCCCTTCCCCTGCTAACAGAGTAACTATGTCTGATAGTAATTATAACCTTAAGTGACAAAAACATATTCACTCAACATGCACTAAAGATCATTTATGACGGAGTGAACTCTTGGAAATGTCACACTACATCAGAATCATTTACATGTGTTTCTTATAACAAATGCCATATGGCAAATTCTGTCATTAGAAAGGTTAGATAATTGTGACAATGGATTATTGAGACAAATCTTCTGCTTAGCTTGATACTAGGGACAAAGGAAATTAAGACATGTGCTCAAAGAATTCTATTAATGCATTATTCAGAAAGCAAGCAACACTAACCTGCCTCTTCAGTTCTTACTTTTTCTGAGGGTAAACTGGGTTCTCCACCTCCAATCTTGTTACTGGCTACAACTCGAAATTCATATTCCACCCAGGGATTTAACTCGACCACAGTAGCCGTGTGTGTTTTCCCATCGATGACCTCAGGCACTACAAAGAAGCAGTTCAGAGAGTTGAGAGCCTGCACACACTGTCACTGATCTGAGATCCATCTCTATGAGCCTCTGGCATCTGCCTTTCCCTGTTACCTGTTGTGACTGTTTGCCAGCCCACGGAGAAAGGTGTTCTAGCCTGGATAGCATATGATGTAACTGGGCTGTGGTTGTCTATTCCTTCTTTCCAAGACAGTTGGGCAGTTGTATCTGTAATTTCATCAACTTTTACATTTTCTGGTGGTCCAGGTGAACCTAAAAAGGCGAAAATGAAAACAATATGTAACAATTCCATAAATGCCATCTTCTACTATAGTAAAGAGAGTGTCATATAATTTCTTTAATATCTCCAACTGATTACAATTTCAAAAGCACTTAGGAAAAAGGATCTTTTATCTGGCACTAATACTGTCACCTTTTCCCACTACTTTTCAACTGTTACATTTTTTTTTCATTGTTACATTTTAAATCTGGATGTAAGACAGCAATTCCAAAATCCTAAGACAACATGATTGCGAATGTCACCTAGTCTTTTGAGACCTCTATTCAGCAGGATGCCTATACCTTTCTAAATTCACTCCCTCTGCTACGGTGGGATGCCTTTTCCTAAATCCACTGGTGTGGATCTGTAGCTCAGATGGCTGTTGTCCAGAGTTTTATTGTCTGCTGTACTTTAGTCATTTTTCACACAAGTGACAAATCAGCACCATAGATAGCAGCTCTGGCAAGAAAATTGTCTTTATTTTCATTTTTATTATTTTTTTTGTATTCAAGACAGGGTGTACAAGGTGACAGGGTCTCACTGCACAGATCAGACTCATAGTGATACTCCTGTTTATAGCCTCCCAAGCGCTGGGATTACAGGTGAGCAACACCATGCCCAGTCTCATTCACTGTCTCAGTGAGCCCTGGGGGCTGGGCTGGCACGGTAAGCCAGTGAATTGAACTCTCGGCCTCTGCATCTGACTAAGTAGGTGCTTTAATCCACTGAGCTATTTGGCCAGCCCTAGGCAAATTATCTTTAGAATTCTGAATAATTTCAATTCTTTTGAAAACAGACAACACACAAAGTTCCCACACAAAATCCATTTACTGATTTAATGCCATGCTCAAAACAGAGCTTTTTGGTAGATAAGGAATGGCAGCTACAATGTAAATAATCTGAAGGCAGAGTTCAGCTTTTAATTTCTTTCAATTAACACCCATTCTTATTGCCATAATCTCTCCATGGGGGTTCAAATCAATATCATAATTTTCAGGCTCATTTGTTATCTCATTTTATTTCTTTGTCCATTAAGGCATGCTCAGTTAACATGTGAAGTTTAAAAAAGCATAAGAGATATTAACATTTACCTCTTACTATAAGTTCAGCAGCAGAAGAAACACTGTCTACCCCAGTTTGGACCATACAGACATACTTTCCACTGTGTTTCAGCTGAATGTTTCTGATCATTAAATCACCAGATGAACTCTGTTGGGCAAATAAGTAATAAAGTCATTATTTTAAAACTCAAAGAATCATAAAGGCTGTGGGCCAAAACAACATGGTGTTGAAATCCATATTTAGAGAGGAAACAAAAGTGGCACTAGACAGAAGATTACTATAACAGGAATTAGTATCATACAGGACTAAAACAAGTAAAAAGCCATACATGACTTGCCAACAAATATTTCTGTAGACAAATAGATGACTAGCTTTTCCTTGGGCACTTATGGTTTAAGAAATAATTGAGGGGAGCGATTATAGTCTCAAGGTCTATTTATTTTTACCAAAGTGACACTTCTTTTCATGGCCACTGCTCAGCTCCAGCTCAATTCCTCTGTCTGACTCCAACCTCCCTGCAATTATCTGCCTCAGAAGGAAGCATTTCGGTAGCTAGTGGGAGATAAACGCAGCACAACAAGAGGATTATGATGGTTGAGACAGTTTTCTGTGCTCACTAAAGCTTAGAAAGACTAATACCATTTAATTCCTGAGGTGTAAAATTTAGAAAGTCAGTAAAAGTCTTTTTCAATAAAAAATAAAACATTTTAAACCTTAAATATGCAATCCATAACGATCTTTGTTGGCATCCCCCAGCACCAATTAATAAAACAAATGCATTTTTAACAGCTCAATTTGAACTCGTGCTCATTTAAAGAGAATGGAAAATCGTGTTTATAAAATGGCTAACTGCAGGTCAGTTTCACACATTAGTGAAAATACAGATTGCAGTAAAATAACTTAGAAAGTCCCTCTGAAAATTGCCAGCAGACTGTGGCTGACTTGGTTCAGATGAATAAGTCATATTCATCTTTTTAATTAAAGACAGTTTTCATCTTGGGTTTTTGTAATATTGATTGAAAGATGAATTCTACTGTCTCTTTTAGGATAATTTTGTAAAATCTTCTACAGAGTAATTTCTTAAATATTGCTCCCCAGCCTTAGGATTCTTAATGACCTACATATTCTCTGTTGGTTGGATCATATGGCTTTAGATGGAATTTCTTGAGTACTGGGAAAAAGCAGATGTGAGGTGATTGATAGCTATAATTAAATGATAATCCAGAAACTGTTAAGTTTGCACATTTCACTTTCATGAAGTTGAACTTTTTTTCTTTGTTTCCCTCTGTCTTTTTCTCCTCTGGATTATTTAGAAATTTATTCCCAGGATAGAACCTTCAGGGTCTGCTGACCTTTACAAACTCTTCAGGTTTTATGAGTTTTACATACTCACAGGAGGGTGATTATCATTTCCATAGAAATCTCTTATTTTCAGTTAAGGACCATTAGTATTAAATATGGTCAAGGCATTTGTGTAAGGGTGTTATTCTTCACTAACTTTATTTGCTTATTTTAAAAGTTATGGGTAAAAGAATTCTAAGAGGAATTTCTTTACATCCTTATAAATCTAGATATAACTTTTAGGCACACAAGCTAATCTTATCTCTTGCAGGATTGTGAGTTCAGTATTGAGACCGTGATTTCTGTTGACTTTTTATACTGATCAGTAATGAAGCAGAAACAACTTAGCTAGAACATTAAAACAAAAAGCCTTCCTAAAGAAATGTAGCCAGGCTCACTGTCAGAGGAAATACAATTTTAATTATCTTTTTGATGTAAAGAGTAGGAAACAGGGCAATTAACTAAGACATGTTACATAAGGGCACCCACTGTTTTCTTATTCTTTTCAGCATTCATGCAGAGTTGAGAGGATGACGACAGAAAAGAAACATAAAATTTAATCAACATTGAGGGAGCCTCTTACCAATGTTTGCCTATTTTGATCCACTATATTTGTATTGTTTCTTTTCTGAGGCCAACCTCATTACATTCTTTCTGCCATCTTTTAATAGGTAAAATCAAGCAAAGTACACCGTACACTTGTTACTGTGTAATTCACAGACTGAGTCTTGTCTGCTATGTGGTTTTTGTTCTCTAGGATGTAAACTCAAGCTAAAGTAACATGGTCTAAACACGTAAAATAAGCTGAATCTGAAAAAATTCCATATATAAATCAGATAAAAAGTGAACATGATGAAAACATTGTAAGTTAGGTGTAGGTTGTGATTACCTTTGAACAAATAAATAGATATCACCGCAAGTAAGTAGCATGGGTAACTCTAGGAGGAGGGTCAAGCCTTGTTTTTTAATTTCAGTGCTGATTGCATTAGTGTTTGTTTTGTGAAAATTTACTGAGCTATTTCTGAGGAATTCATTTATTTTAGTACAATGTAATGGCTATCAACAGATAGCTATGATATGTATAGGTATACTTCTAATTACTCAACTCTAAACAGAACAATAGGCCAAAAGAGGCAAGAGACATGACTACGATGGTTATTTTTAATTTTAATTTATTTTATTAGTACATTATTTTTGTACATATAACATTCCTCAGTGAGCTAACATAATCTTAACCCTTTTCTCTTCCCCTCCCTCCATCTCTTGTCTCCCTTACCCTTTGCAAAGGATCTCTCTATTTCCTATAATTTATCTTTTATTGTGCTCGTTATTTATATAAATGCAATTCTTCACTCCAATTTCTTTTACATGAAAACTTTATTAAACAATTACAGTGCTATAGTTCCAAGAGATAAAATCTTGAGAGCAGAAAAACAGTCCTTGTATTTATTAAGATGACAGATGAAAGATAGGCATTAATTAAATCACTACACAAATCAAAGTAAAATTACAGGGTAATGAAGGTTTAAAGTACATAGAAGAATCTGTGATTTTCTGGGGTTTCAGTCAGCTGAAAATCAAGTTAAGAAGATTTTTTGGGAAAAGAGAGGAGAAAATGGAATGTAGAAACACTTGTACATATGCAATAACCGACGGGAGGTACAACGACGGTCTATTTGAAGAGCTCAGAGAGAAAAAGAGGAGCTGAAGGGAGATGGGGTGGCAGAGACATTAGAGGTGGAGTTAATTGACAAGCTGTTACTGGTTCTGAAAAAGCTCCATTAAATTATATTCATGTCATAATGATGTTCAATGTTTATTCTTTTCTTAAATTTTTATAATTTCCAAGTTGAGATAGAACTGCTTTCTTTACTTTTTTTTCTTTTGTTTCCAGTACTGGAAATTGAATGTAGAGTATGCACACTGAGCTACATCCCCAGTAGCTTTTTATTTATTTATTTTTTGCTTTGATATAAGTTTTTTCCTGAACAGCTGTACTGCTTGGGGTGGGCTCAAACTTGATATTCTCTCTCTCTCTCTCTCTCTCTCTCTCTCTCTCTCTCTCTCTCTCTCTCTCTCTCATCTAGTGTAACGTTAAAACCTCTTAATTAATTGTTCCATGTAATTACATTGAATTCTCCTATGAAAAATAATCCTATTTCCATACTATGGTACAGAGATAAATAGTAGATATATCTATAAGTCAACCAATCTCTTGAATAAGTATTAGAGAAAATTTTAGTGAGTATTAAGTTAAATAGCAGAGGATCTGATTAACTTATGTTCCATATATTCTTAGGTGATGACACTAATGGAATTTTCAATGTAATTAAAAAACCACTCTGCACAAAAATAATAAATAAATGAATAAATAAGTAACATGATACAATAACCCATGCCAGAAGAAATAAAAAATAAGTAGACAGATCATTACTAATTACAGGTAGACTGAAAACACATCCTGCTATCTACCATATGTTAAAAATCTAAGTATAAAATGGGGAAATTTTATTTTATCAATTTTATAAAATAGGGATTGTCTTCGACATAGCCAATGTAGCATGAACTTTGAGATAACAGATTATCACCAAAACTAATTCTTTAGTAAGCACTCTGCATATAAATAAATGCTTGCTGCTAGAATGCCCAGAAGCATAATTTTCTAGTTTAGGGAGGAAAGCACTTTGACGGCTATTTGGAAGGCAAGGTGGAGGCAGAGGTCCGCCTCCTTTTGATCACTCTGTACAATAGCCTGTTAGTGCACAGCCTCCCATAGTAAACATCATCCCTGCCCTGGCTTCCCCGCCAAATCCTGGCACTGCATGTAAATAAGATCCAGGTGCTTTACAAACAATCAGACCTTCCAGTCCTTCTGGAACCTGGCTGATCCTTTCCTTTTTGAAGGTCCCTGAACGAATTGGAGAGAAAGGACTCACTTTTGTGTTTATGAGCAAACAAATTAAACCTTGCCACCATCAACCCCCAGTGGCTGAATCAGGGTCACCTTCGTTACAATTATCCTCTGCTTACACCAAAGAGAGAAAGAATCATGGACACTGAACGAGGTAAACAGGCCTTAACATGACTAGTTTTAATTTTTTTCCACTGATAAAACATTTTTTGGTCACTGGTTGTCCAGACAGGTGATATTTCGGCAGGTAAGACGTAATCTTTTAAAAAGACCATCTGCATTAATCTCTTTGGTACCAATAAACTGGAATAATTTTTCCATTACAGAATTTAGAGTCCCAGCATGGCCCTTGCAAAGTGTTTCCAGTGAATGACACATTAAAGATCAAACAAACTAGGTTGAAGGCATTTCATGAATATTTTAGGTTGTGTCAAATGCCTGACTTGCCTCATAGGTGTTAAATTTTACATTTCAACAAGTTAATCTTAAAAACTTGGGATTTTTTCCCTCTTCTATGCAGTTTGATGTGTTGATAGGGTAGCTCACTGAAAATTGGTTATCTTAGGAGAAGTACTTGTTCTTCCAGAGATGTTAATGTGGGGCTTTCTATACTGTAATCTTTACAGAGACACTTTTACACATCTCTACCCTGCATCATCGTCCCACATGCTCTATTATTCACTGATTTTTTTCTTAAACTTCATTAAATTTAAATAAATATAGAAGCCAACATGATAAATTATGAATTTTTTCACCACAAATAATAATTAACTGCTGAAATGAATACAGTGAGGAAAAATAATATGAGTGGACACTGTTCCAGATAATGTGAAAGCACATTAGTTGAATAAAATCGAAATATTTGAGCCTGGGACCTTCAGTCTGTTAATTAAAG